TTTTTTTTTTTTTAACATTTTATTAGGGGCTCATACAAGGAGAGAACTTCTTAAGGATGGAAAAGAAATGATTGTGATGATCAAGGAATCTGTACTGATTGAATCACAAAGTGAGGAAATGAAGATTTTTTTTAAACCAGGAAATTGATGGAAAGGGGCTTCATTGAGGTGGTAGTATTAATACACTTCAAACAGGAGGTGGTATAGTTAACAGGTAATGCTGGAGCCCAAGACAATTCCATGGGAGCAGAGGATTGAGGTTGCCTAGAGGCAAAAATAGTAGAAGAGGCCATCAAGAGGCAAAAAGGCCATAGCATTAGATTTCTGCTGAAGCTATATAGCAGTGATGACAGGCATGTGAACTGGGTGGTCAGTGAGCCAATGTTTAAATCGCTGATGAAAGTAATGGTGATGTTGAGCATTAAGGAAGGAGTAGCCTTCCATCCAGACTGTGGTGGGAAAAAGCTGAGGGATTTGTAGGGAAAATGGTTTAGTAGCAGTGAGGAATTTGAACACTTAACCCACACTCTTCAACTAGAGAGGGATGCTGAGCTAAGCTGCCCTCAAGGTAAAGAAAGGATTCCACGTGGGGGCGGGGTTGGGAGGGGGGGTGGAATGAGGAGCTAATATCAAGGGCTCAAGTTGAAAATGTTTTGAGAATGATAATGGCGACAAATGTGCTTGACACAATGGATGGATGTATGGATTGTGATGACTTGTACAAGCCCCCAATTTAAAAAAAAAATCCACTCTGCACTGTTAGACGAGCACAATAATCTGATCCATCCAGATTAGCACCAGCACCTCACAAGTCTTTTATTTTGACTTGCCTTTACCAGAAAGGAGCCCTGGTAGCACTGTAGATTAAGCACTGGGCTACCAACCACCAGGTAAGCAGTTCAAACTCTCAGAACAATGAGTCAGAATCAACTCGATGGCAGTGGTTTGGGTTTTTAATACCAGAAAAGGCCCCAGCAGTGCCACAGCTAATAGGCAGCTGCTAACTAAAGGGTTGGCAGTTTGGAGCCACTAGCAGCTGTGAGAAAAAGGCTTGACCGTGTTCCTGAGACTGCAGCCTCGGAGACCCGGGACGGTTCCGTTCTACCCTGTGGACATCGCCAAGTCAGTGGACACAACAGCAGTGGGTTGGGGTGGTTCTGTGTGCACCAGAAAAGCTGGAATGGTTACTCAGGACTGCTACCCCTTAAAGCTCACACACAGCTTCCCTGGGAGAGGGCCCCAGGAACGTGCTCTCAAAAGGTCATAGCCTGGGAACCTAGTGTGGTCTAGGCTGCCCACACATCGGGGCCTGCCAGGAGCCAGAAGAGACACCAGGGCCTGATTCTTACTTAAAACGACAACAAAACCTTGTGTGTAAAACTTCTCAGTAAGACCAGGAACGTTTGTGTGACTCATTCCCACAGACTGGTTAAGATGGTTTCTTAGATTATTATTTAATAATTATGATAAATTCCTAATGCTTTATTTTTGTTTTTCTTTTGAAAAAGATAAACATTGTGAATGATGAAAATGTTAAGAGAGTAAATAGAGCTTTTATCGACATACAGAAGGAACTCGCACACTTCTCAAGAGGCCTTTCCCTTGGACCTGTGCAGAAACAAGTGGTGAGTAGAAATCATTTGTTTTGCTCAAATATGTACTGAAGGTTAATAAATTGAACCCATAGCTTAACATTTAGATTCAGTCATATTCAGCTGCTAAGACACCTGTGTCTGAATACAAGAATTTATTATTTCTAGAGACTGGGTGAGAAGAAATTTAATAAAGGCTATGTATTTATATATAAGGCCTTTTTCTCCAGTGCTGTCATCTAACCTTTAACCTTTTTTCTTTAATCTTCTCTCAATCTTTCTCTCCAGGTCCCTCAGCAGCACCAAGAAAAGGGACAAGTTAGTGTTGACGAGGCTACATATTTAATGGCTCAGTTATAATCCTGTGGTGGCACATCTAATTCTCAAAGGGGGGAGAAAAAACAATAAAAATTATAATGTTTTATACAACTTTATTTTTTTAATCTTGTTAATGTACAGGCATTGGCACATTTTAAAACAAACTACATAATAAACAG